CTCCTCTGCTAAAGGTTGGAAGCAAAAGGTTTCTGTCACTGAAAAACAAATTACAGTCCCACCATGGAGGCAGTACCAATTCCACACAGGCAGATGGGCAAAATGCATTTGTTTTTGCTGGGCAGATTGGCCCAGAATCTGCCAGTTGCCAAAAGCTTAGCTTTTCAAGTGAGGAGAATGCAAGCATTTTTTTTTTTCATATATGTCAGGCTCCACTGGACTCAACTGCTGTGTAATTATGTGATAGGCTGCCATTTGATGCCCTAAAGAAACAAGTGGAGTTTTACCAGGTGTGTTAAAGAAGGTGATGTGTGTATAACATGTCATCAGATTCTTACAATGAGATGATGCTGAACAGGAATAAATATACCATATTTGTGGTTTTGTTCAGAAAGAAGTCAGAGGCCAGGCATCCTTATTAGGACTCCATTTTCACTTTTGGTGGAGTTCACAGAACAGGCTGGACTTCCTCTATTAGGAGACCCTTCTTTGCACCAACAGAGAAAACCCTTTTGGGTAACTGCCCTTGATCTCTTTTCCCCAGGAGAAGCAAGTTCATGGCGAAAGAAGCAATTCTCACAAAGAATAAACTGTGAAATGCATTTTTAAAAAGTGTTTTATTGCTATTCCGATTTGGAAGCCCATGGTGTTGGTGGTCATCTTTCTGCAACCCAGGTCCCAACTGTTACTAACAGTGTGACAGAGCAGGGGGTGAGGGGTGGGGAGAAAACTGAAAATTGGTTTTCAGGATTTTCTTTAGAGGGAGTTGATTAACAAAAAGCACTGCCGTATTTTGGGGGGAGGGAGGGAAGGACACTTAACACTCTTTTGATTTCAATACTAATTGAATAATTTTAGTAACAGGCAAGTTGTGAGGTTGAAAGGAACCAGGTATGCAGAGTGCAATACTGCCAGGGAAGTTTGTAAAGTGTTTTTGTGCAACTCTTTGGTGCAATTAGCAATCTCCAAGTTACTCCCAAGTAACTACTCCAAGTTACTTATAAATTAAGCTGTTGTGACTGATTTGGATTGCTGTGACTAGAGCGGAAACAAGCAATCTTTTTACAGCTGGAAGCTGCACCTTTAAAAAATAGTTTAAACATTCTTTTTTGGCCTCCAGCTGCCACAGAGATCACGGATAAGTCCTTGGTAGAAGCAGCAGGGCCAACATTTTTGGACTAAGTAGAGATGAGTCCAGAATTGCCTACCTTCTGTTCCAGAAAGGAGTATGAGAAATTGTGATGAATTGTGATGAATTGGTTTAATTATTCGTCAGCAGAGGGCTTACAAAACAAATCCATAGTATTACAAACACTATATTCTGCAAAAAAATCAGCTAATACTGTTAAGTTCCAGAAGGCCTGGGAGTTAAAAAAACATCTTGCCCAACCTGTACTAAAGAGATAGCATCTCCTTTCATATTTTTGTCCTCAGCTGAGTGCCAATAAATGAGGAGCTTCTTTCCATGCATGATTAAGCCAAACAATGAAAAGAATGTCAGTTCATCTACCACATGATCTCCACACAACATTACTCGACATTGCTCAGCTCTGCTGGAGATTGTCCTATCTAAGGCCTAACCTTCCACTCAGATCCAGAATGAAATGCAGAGCCTCCATCTCAAGAAGCAGCTGTAGCCAAATTTATTTTTAAAATATATATATATATCATTTTATATAGCAGGTTGAATAACAGCTGTTAATGCATGGACTTTTGAGATAGAAGCAAAATCCCCATTCTGCCCTGACCCCAGAATGCCACACAATTTCTCTTGCATAGATCTAGCATTGTTTTTCTTAGTTATGAAATACATACGCAACTAATACTCAGTATAGAAGTCATGTGTGTGAGTGCATATGTGTGCATGCACATTTCTGAGATATTGATTAATATTGGACTTCCAAGTGAGGATAATGGCAGACTAAGACATCTCTGAGGGAGTGGAGATGACATTGCAGGGGAGACTGATGGCTGGGCGATAGGCCCGAGCCAATGGAGCCTCTCCGGAGAAGGAGAGGCCAAGAGATCACCCACTTGTGCTCCGGATGGCTATTCCTTGCAAGGTGACCACAGGATTGAGGTCAACTCATGAGTCAGAATGCGGGAACTGCAGAAAACACATCAAGCTCACTATCACAGTGGCGCCTGTAAGGACCCTGGGTTTGCTAAAACCTCACTTTTTAAAGCGCGTTTGAATTACAATTATTTCAAAGCTGAAAGAGGTCTTCATAACAGCGATTAAAAAAAACACACCTTCTGGTGACACTTCATTCTGGATTAAAGAAAAGAGTAAAATAAGAATTTAAAGAATTTAAGATCAGAGAAAAAAAGCTTAACAAGAACTTAACCTACGAAAATTTACAACAGATTAAGAGGCCAATTAAATTTGAAATATTAGGATTTTTACTAAGGTATTTTTAAAATAATTAAATAAATAGAATTATACCTTTGTGGGAATTCAGACTGTTTAGTTTAGAGTTCTAGTGGAAAGAGGATGGTGGATTTTGCACACCAAAGAGGTAAAAAAAATCTGAGACAAACCATGTGACCATAGAATTACAGAGTGCCAGAAGGGATCAAAGACTTAAGGACTAGAGAAACGGGTCGGGGGGGGGGGGGGAGAAGTCTCACTTTTATTTTTACTTTTACTTTTGTACCTGATGAAATGGCTGTTCTTAGAAAAGTAGTGAAACCTATAGAAATGACCAAAAGAAAGGATCACACCTGAAACATTTCAAAAGATCTTTGAGGAATTGGAAACAATTTTATAGCTACAATAACAGCATCAATAACTGCCTATGTGAATGTATCATTGAAAAGAGATCAGAAAGAGGAGATAAAAGTAGAGATGAAAAATAATTTTGAAGAATTTACAGGACAACTGAGTGAAGAAGTAATTCAAAGTGAAGTCAAGGTGGAAATTTTGGAAAACAAAACAGAAATATTGGAAGACAAAACAGAGATAATAGAGGGGAGATACCAACATTAAGACATGAAAAATGATGGATAATGGACTACTATTGGACTTACAAGAGAAAGGAGGATTTACAGAACAACTCGGTGAAAATACTAAGGAGAGGGCTGTGGAAGCCTCAAAAAAATTTTTAGGATGGGCAGAAGAAGATACTGATGGAGGTCAAGTCGTACAGCAGTATTTCCATGTCAGGTTAAGGATAACAATGTCAGAATACTATGTAAGAGCAAAGAATATAATATTGACTTGATAAAAAATAATAAGTACTTTTATAAAATAACGGAAGCCCTTTATGGACTTTTTGCTGAAACTGGAAAGAACTGTCACTGATTTTTGGATTTGCAAATTGAAATGGGTTGGGATACAGGAAGAAATTATATATGTAACGTAATTTCAGAAGGGGAGAAGAGATATCAAGTTTGCTTGTACCTGCTGTAAAGAAGATTGGAAGTCACTTCTTTAAATATTTTTTTCTTTTTGTCTTTTCCTTTTCTTTTATTTTCTGCACTTTCTATCTTTTCTTTATATTTCGTTTTCCTCTATTCTCTTTCTTTCTTGAATTGCAGTTTTGTATTAGCTTTTATTATTGTTAGAAATCTTCACTAAAAAGCACTTTAAAAAAAGCTATTGATTAATATCAGTCCTCCTTTGCTTAACACTAAGATGAGAATCCACGCCTGTTCACTACGTTGCATGGAGCAAGAAATTCTTGAAGGAGGCAGGGGTGGGTGGTGGTGAGGGTGGGAAGAAGCATTTTACTCTTTATCTCCGGTCCTTCACTGAATAGGCTTGTGACTCAGGGTTCTATTATTTAGCTATGCATTCACCAACAGGGTGACTCTGTTATTAAGTAGCATGAGACAATCACTCAAGCAGCAGATGCTGAAGGACTACAGTATATCTGCCAAGAGGTCTCTATGCCACACAGCTTCCCTAGTATTCTTTTAAGCCAGAGGTGAGCAGAAGCTCAGTCAGGATCTAGTCAACAATCTCCTACTGGCTTGCAGTAGAACATCAAATCCTTACAACTTCCAACAGTTGAGCAACAGCAATTAAAATGACAAAACGATTAAAATAATAATAACAATATCTGACTTTCATCTTGTTCCAAAGATTGGTGTACTGTAATTGCTTTGATATCTCAGTCTCCTATAACAGTTATTAAGACATCCTGGTTGCCTTAAACAAGACGTCGCAATATTTTCAGTGTGTTTGATCCCTGCTTTTCAGCAATATGTGTGATTGCACAATCATCAAGGAAGGGACTTGTGTTAATTGGCCAACTTGGAGGTCAGTATGAACAATCCATTCTAAGAAAATCAGCCATCAGTTATGGTTTCCAGTCTCCATAGTTTCCTGAGTCCTCACAGTTTCTGCCCTGTAAGGAATGCTGCTGTTCAGGCACTCCTTCAATACAGGTAATCGTCATTTAGCAACCACAACTGGAAATGGCAACTCGGTCATTAAGTGAAGTGGTCACTAAGTGAAACTGCAACTGTGCTCATGATCTTACTTTAGCTTTCCTTTCCTTTACAGACCTGCAAAGGTCATAAATGTGAGGATTGGTCACAGTTATTTTTTCATCACCACTGTAACTGCAAACTGCAAATGCTGTATGAGGGAGTCGTTAAACAAGAACTACCTGTAATCTGCCTAGCCAGCTTCCAAAGGTGATGCATTGTGTTAATAGGATACATATAAGTAGATTAAGGATGGGTAGGGAGAGGACCAGGACAATTCTTTATTTTTATTTTAGTGTGAAGGAGGGGAGGTGGTCCCAGTCCCTCATGCATGCTTGAGAGGAAGGACCTGCAAATGTGGGATGGGGATAATCATCTATAGAACAACTTGGAGGGCAGCACAGCCATTACTAATTGGTTAAGCTAATCACCAATTATTCCATAATTCTATCTCCCACCCACTCCCCAAAATGGATAGAATGTAGTATTATGAATGTCAGCACAGAAATTAAAAGGTACACACATCCCAAACCTAATCTGCTTGTGAACCCTGCATTTTCATGGCCTGGATAAAGAGATAACCTGGCTGCTTTAGCAACAGTCTTAGGATGCAGCGCTAGCACACAGGATTCCACTAGAAATAAGCCACAATGAATTGAATCAGCTTAATAAACTGATTTGCTGAGAAACTGGAGTTATTTGTAAGTTTTGTGTATTTTTTAAGTGCCCACAACCATCTATTGCTAGCGTCCATGGCTATGCCAAACAGCAGAAGCTGCTCTACAGCTGAGAGGTGTGGCAAAACGATGTCCAACTCTCCCCACAAGAAGAGAAGTGTGTGCCAAGGAAGAGGACCTCACAGAAGAAAGACATACATTATGCCAGAAATACGTTTCCATAACAACCACAGAACACTGATTGAGGCTTTAAAAAAAAAATAAAAATCCGTGAATACAATGCCCACTGAGTCAAGCTGAATGCTGGGGTGGGGTGAATTATACCAGTTTTGATATTTGAAACAAAATATGATCTATAATTTCTTGTGCATAATAGATCATTATTGCTGTTTATGTAGAACACAGGCCATTTTGAAGACACGTAAGCTGTGAGCAAGCACATATTACAAGATTGGATCAAGAAAGGTTAGTAAATAATAACAAAAAGGAAAATTCACACTGACAAAATATCAAATATAGTTAGGTACCATAACAAAAATTAACACCACTTGTTTATGATGGAATTAAATGAAAATGAAATAATTTTCTTCCATACTTAATTCACTGACAGTGACAGATTTGCATTCAAGGTCAAAGTGGATAAGGTTATATATGCTTCTTTGTATTTATTATGCATTTAACATGCATACTTTGAAAAAGTAAACAGTAGCAGCTGAGAAGAGTAGGCTGATAATTACCTGAACTGTAGCAAACACACAGAGAGAATATTAAATATTTTCTTCCCAATTGTAGTCCTGAAAAAAAAACTCGTCTGAAAATGTTACTTCCGTTGAAAAAAATTCCTCATTAGTGCACCAACAGGTGAACTCATTTGCTTAATTATCATCTACATTTATATTAAAAAAAAATTCACTTTACATTATTTATTATATTTTTAATCATCCCAATAAAGAAATTCTCTGTTGTTGCACCTAACAATAAAAATGCAAAATCTAGAACAGGCACAATGAAATTTAGAATAAATTGATAAGAAAATACTTAAATACTAAATAGAATATGCAATACAGGTAGTTTGCATTTAGCGACTACCCTGTTTAGCAACTGTTGGCAGTTACAGTGGTGATAAAAAAGTAACTTTGTGACCAATCCTTGCATTTATGACCTTCGCAGGTCTGTAAGGCAAAGGAAAGCTGAAGTAAGATCATGAGCACAGTCATGGTTTCATTCAGCGACTGCTTCACTAAATGACCAAGTTGCCAGTCCCAGTTGTGGTCACTAAACAAGGACTACCTGTATATAAAAATAAAGAGTTTTATACCTTGCCTTAAAAACTTTTCTCCCAAGCTGTCTAAGGTTTTAAAGGCCAAAAGCAGTACTTTGAATTAGGCCTTTAATTGGCATGACAGCAGCATTTCAACTTGTGCTAGTGAATGACCACCTTGAATGGAGGGTGTTCTGCCTTGCAGCCTTAAGCAGCATGGCTCCCATACCTGAACTCCCTGAGAAAGAAGCAAGCTCCCCAAATCCTTTTCCTGAATTCAACCTCTCCCTCCACTCTAGCCACATTGATGTTCTGGTCTTTTTGTTTCCTTTTTAGCTTTTGTTATTGTCTCTTTTGAATGGGGTATAAATATTGTTTACCTCTATGTGCCTGTTGATGGCTGGACATCTCACAGAACGGAGCAAATATCCTATCAACTCCCCACTAGAGGGCTTCCAGAAAATCACAGACTTAAAAATAGATGAAGAAATTATGGTTTCATTTCATGTCACATCCACAGATCCAGAAGTAGCGAAAGAATCCATGGCAGCAGCACTACACAACACACCCGACCTAACCAAATACACTAAGATCGAAATACCCAGTATCATGGACCTCATCAACCTCTGCCTCACTACCTATTTCCAGTTTGAGGGACAAATATACCAACAAATCAGAGGAATACCTATAGGGTCACCATTCTCAGGACCCATAGCAGAGGCTGTAATGTAGCATGTAGAAACTATAGCAATCCCACACATACAACCAAAAATATGGATCCAGTATGTAGATGACATCTTTGTCATAATAAAAAAGGAACAACTAGAGAAGACACATGAAACTATCAACAAGATCTTTAAAGAAATAAAATTCACAAGGGAAGAAGAAAACAACGCACTACCCTTCCTGGATATCCACATCAGCAGACGAAATAACGGCAAATTAGAAACACAAGTTTATCAAAAAACAACCCACACTAACCAAGTGCTCCATTATGAAAGTAACAACCCCACCTCCCACAAGAGGATCTGTGTAAGAACATTATTCAGATGAGCACAAATGCACTGCAGCAACCCAGAACATCAGAAAAAGGAAACAGACCACCTATACTACATCTTCCAACAAAATGGATACCCACGCAACTTTATCAAGTGCCTGATCACTCAACCCACTACAGCACAACCAACACTAGCTATGAAAAGGATAACATTGCCATTCATCAGGAAAATATCAGAAACAACCAACAGACTGTTACAACCACATGGCATCACTGTAGCACACAAACCAACTAAAGCCCTCCAAAACATCTTACGTAAACCAAAAGGCCCAGTAGCCCAAGAACAAAAAACAGGAGTCATCTACAACATACAGTATAAGGACTGTAACAGCCACTATATAGGGCAGACAGGCAGAAGACTAGCAGAGCGCATCCATGATCACCAACTAGCAGTCAAGACATGATGAAAACTCCTTAATCTCACAAGACATGGACAGATTCAACCATAGTTTCAACTGGGGAACTGTCAGCATCTTAGACCAAGCTAAATCCAAAAACATGAAGGAATTCCTGGAAGCTTGGTATTCAAACAACTCAGCCATCAACAGGCTCATAGAGATAAAGCAGTTTTACACACCATTCAAAAGAGACATTTAAAAAGCCAAAAAGGAAATGAAAAGTCCAGAACACTTCCTTCCTGGCAATCAACACCCAGTCAGCAGGGATTAACACCAGACAAACAATCAAGTAGTAAACAATAGCCTAATCAAGAAACTACCAAGGAGAAAAACAACACCCCCACCAACCCTGACAAGGCAAGCTACTGTATATAAACAGAGAGCAAACCCCACTCCCTTCTAACACTGAAGATGTTACCTAGTCAGGTCACAAAATGTCTGCAAGAAAACAACCAAGCTCAGAGGACATCAATGCCTTTCTGGCATTGAAAAGAAAAAAATGGGTCAGACCCAGGGCACTGCCCTTCATGGTGGACACATGATCCCAAGAAAAAGTGTCTTTACTTGAAGGTGTTCCCAACAGGGGCTAAATAATACCCAGGTAAATTAGCTTGTTCTGTTGCAATCCTCTCCTAGTTGTGATGACATTCTGAGGTAACTTACTCATTAATAAAGGATGATCATCTGATGCATATATTCCACCTCCAGTCACTATAAATGCCTCCTTTCCAAAACCTTACTCATTCTTAACTGGCTGTAGGTGAAAGCTTGCTTACACTGCAGTAATTGCTACAAGAGTTCTCAAGTAGCACTTGCCCAAAAAGCCGTAATTCAGTTCGGTCCTTCTTCGCCACCGAACATGCAGTTGTTCACTGGTTGTTCACTTCTTCTGGATTTGTTCTGGAAATATTTTTTGACTCCTTATTTTGCATTCTGGAAAATAGATATTCCTCTCGGTGACAAAGAGCCTGTCAAAGTCTGGCTGTTTCATGTGACGACGCTATGGATATTTTATGTGGTAAGAAGATCCTTCCTTCCTTCCTTCCTTGTAGGTGATTTGGGGTCCTTAAGAACAATACATGATTGATAAATCTGCTTCTAGGGAAATAGTTTTCCCCTGAAGTCTCTGAATCTGTTTTTGTTAGAAGCCAAGATCCATATCCTTCCACTAAGTTCAAAAGCTAAACTTACAGGAGCCACCATATCTACCTTAGGACCACTCCTCAAGACAGTGGACCATAAATGAAGTTCCAGAAGAGAAGGCAGCTTTCAGTGAGAGTAATTGGTTAATGCACTTAATGTGAGTTGAGGCACGATATGAAAGACTGCCCGAGGAAAGAAATGGGGTGAGCCAATCTGAGATGAAGCTTGTCAAACCAGTGTGATAACATTAAAAAAAACTCTGATTATTGCTGATAATACTTTTTAGTATACCAAATTTATTTTTATTTTTTTCCATGAATGTTACTGAAATATTAAAATAATATGTCTGGAAATACATAATTCCTGAAGGCTGTGAAGACCTGGCCTTTCCCCAGACATTGGGCCAGGATGAGAGTTGAAGCCAGCACCTGTGTACTTGGTATAGGAGTGCTACAGCATCTTGCTTGTGTATGAAGGTTTTAACTTGGCCAGGGAGGCG